TGGGTTACACGAGATTACCTGTATAATGACCACACCTGAGCAATTTGCATAGGAGGGCGAATTATTTTGCTCTCGTCTGTTTTATAGCTCTTGCATCATGGACAAAAGGGTCATCGTCCTACCCTTTTGGTTGTAAGCAGTCTAAGTCAAGCCTGAAATTTCCTACTTCAAGGCAGCTGCAGAAGGCAATAATAAAGGAACGAGTCACACATGAGACACCCCTGACGTATAAGGTGTGACGCAGTGTGACGCAGGTCTTGCCCGTCATCTCCCCTTGGACTGGCGACGAGACAGTGGGTAAATCATTACCCCCATCTGCTGAAACCATTATTGTCCTACGTAAAGAATGCCTAATATAACTCCAGTCGCCAACACTGACGGAAGCGGTGCTGGGGTGTGAGGGGATATCCCGTCATTTCTAACTTGACCCTGGAGTGAACGTGACCAGTACACCGGACATGCCTCTCTCTCTCTCTCTCTCTCTCTAATAAGATTGTGTCAATAAGGAGTCTATTCTTCAAGGTCGCGAACAAGGAAGTGGGCAGTACTAATGCTTCCAAAATAAAGATAAGTAGATTAGATTAGATGGGAGGATACTCAATTCTTCATGTACACTACCACCGAGGTCTGACCTTTTCATCATCGAGCACTATACTACGAACGCCTTACTAGTTGACGAACGTATAGTCGTTTATAGACAGACACACACACACACACACACACACACACACACACACACACACACACACACACACACACTAAACACCAGGGAGACACTAACTACTAGTACGCTCTCATCAAGCTGTCACTAATGGGGGAATTTGAACCTCAGTCGACAGATTACATTAAACAAAAGACATAATCGTCCGAAATAATTGGTATTACCTTATCACCTGGAAGCAATTACCACCGACAACAGGTACTCATGTGATCAGAAAGATAATAAAAATATGAAGAAAAGGTTATTTTTGTTTTAAGGAGATGAGATGGTGTGGGGGCCGTGGATAGTGGACTGCGGTGGGAGCTGTGAGGACCTAAGTTCGAACCCAACCTGCACTTCCAAAATACAACACACACACACACACACACACACACACACACACACCAGACCCAGTCAGTAGGTCAGGCTAGTGTGATGTTGTCTGTTGGATACCCCGTTGTAGAGACAGACGTTCCTGATGATGTTTCTGGCCCACACGAGGACACACCTGTTTACAAGATAACCTCTACACCACCACCACACCATCACCTACACCACCACCACACCATCACCTACACCACCACCACACCATCATCTACACCACCACCACACCATCATCTACACCACCACCACACCATCACCTACACCACCACCACACCATCATCTACACCACCACCACACCATCATCTACACCACCACCACACCATCATCTACACCACCACCACACCATCATCTACACCACCACCACACCATCACCTACACCACCACCACACCACCCTACTACATTTTGCACTACCACACGATGTCTACACCACCATCTATCACCTACACCCACCATACAATTTAAGCACTACCACATCGTCTACACCATCATCACCATCATCTGAACCATCATCATCAGACCACCACTACACTTTCTTTTCTACTGTCCACCACCTCACCCTACTACATTTTGCGGTTACGATGTCTACTTTTCTATAGACCCACATCTCGCAACCACCAACCATCACATCTCACCTCCACCTCATTTGCACTACACTATCACCATCATCACCTGCTATTTTGCCTTCTATGACCTACACCACCACCCTACTACATTTTGCACTACCACACGATGTCTACACCACCATCTATACCACCACCATCTGAACCACCACACCATCATCTACACCACCATCTGAACCACCCACTCTACTCCACAACAGTTCTGAGACAAATCATCACACACACACACACACACACGTGAGGACAATTCGCCAAGCACTGACACGTCCAAAATATTCCTAGAGTGATCTACCGTGTTCACACTACGTAAGAGGTGCAGCTCTGGAGGGGGAGCACCTGGGCGGCGGCGGGAAGTTACCAGGTAAGGGTAATAAAATGAGCTGACACACCACATCACAACACACCCTCCTACCTCCTCCTCCTCCTACCTTCCTACCCTCCTCCTCCTCTTCCTCATCCCTCCTCCTATCATCCTCTTCCTCCCACTGTTACTACCTTGACCTTTGTGGTTAATGGTGGGTGTGGTGTGTCGTGAGGGTGCTATCCATCCATCCATCCATCCATCCATCCATCTATCCATCCATCTATGCATTCAAATATATCACATCAATCCTCACTCTTTTCAATACAAATTTTCCTTCCTCCAGAAATTATCGTTTCGAACCCAAACGAACGATTGTAGGGAAAAGTTCAACGACCAGTAAACTAACCACCTTCCCCCTCGACCAGTCAACCGTAGAGCTAACCAAAACAACCAACCATACGTCCAACCATATTATGTATTACCTATCAATCCCCTTGGCAAGATGTGGGGAGGTTCAGTCATATATCCGTCTATCAGTCAGTCAGTCAGTCAGTAAGTCAGCCAATCACTCAGTCAATCAGCCAGTTAGTCAACCAGCCAGTCTGTCAAATCAGCCATTCATTCATTCATCCAACCAACCATTCATCCGCCTTACCAATCATCCGCCTAACCAATCATCCAGCTCACCAATCAGCCAGATGAGTAACTGTAAGGTAGCGTATGAATCAGTCGACATCACCTTGAGTACACACTTGGTACCTTGACCTGCTCCCACAGTACAATGACGTCACATCCCCTTCGAGTCAACGGTGAGAGAGAGAGAGAGAGAGAGAGAGAGAGAGAGGATTGCATCACCTGGTCAAACCTTGTTGTCAGTTAGGTGAGGTGTTAGGGCGGCACCTAAGGATCTAGTGATGAGCTCACCTGCTGCCACCTGTCTTAGTAATGTTGTAGGTTAGACCGTAATTGTTGTTGTTGTAATTGTTTTGTGTTGCTGTTGTAATTATTGGTGTTGAAATTGTTGGTGTTGTTGTTGGTGTTGAAATTGTTGGTGTTGAAATTGTTGGTGTTGTTGTTGGTGTTTTAATTGTTGGTGGTGTTGTAATTGTTGCTACTGATATCATTGTTGATGTTCTATTTGTGTTAAGTTGTAATTGTTGGTATTGCTGTGTTAGTGTGGTAATTTTTGTGTTGTAATTGTTGGTGTTGTAATTGTTTGTGTTGTAATTGTCAGTGCTGTTGTAATTGTTTGTGTTGTTATTGTTGGTGTTGGAATTGTTAGTGCTGTTGTAATTGTGAGTGTTGTAAATGCTGGAGTTGTAATTATTTTGTGTTGTGATTATTAGTGTTGTAAAGATATTTATTTCTCTCAATACAGGTACAACAACATGCTATACGTGTACAGCTACAACCACTGACACCTTCCCCGTCACCACAGCCTGACATAAAAGGAGTCAGTCAGCTTTAGACAAGTCAATGAACAGCCTTGAGAAAACAACGAACGTATACGACAAATTCTGTTGAAAAATATACCAGGATATGATAAATATTTCTGGTCGTTCGTAGTTTCTCACAAAGGGCTACGTAGAATAAATGTTGAGGAATGTTGGCTCCGTGGGCGGCGACCTCCAGGAGTGTGTGTGTGTGTGTGTGTGTGTGTGTGTGTGTGTGATTCAAGTTCAAGGTGGTCACCCTTCTCGCTCTCGCCCACCCCCCTACCCCCAGTACGGTATATCCCTTCCCTCACCAGCGTACTCCTCCTCCCTCCTTCCCTCCCTCGCTCCACTCTCAACAGCCCCTCCCACATTACCATAACTTCTCTCTTCCATTATCCCCCGCTACATCAATTCGTCTTACTTACATCACATTCTCTCCTTTCCTCCTTCCTTCCTTCACCTCATGCCTCCTTTTCACATAATTTTTTCTCCCACCATATCTATCCCTTCCTCTTCCCTTTCCAGTTCAGCTCCACATCCAATTGTTTCCGTATTACCCCCCTTTCCAGTCCCCTCCTTCCACCCCCTCATCCTCCTCCCACACTCTCTCCACCTACCCCCCCTATCCCTCCCCTGCCAAAGACTGCTACTTCCGAGTTCCCCCTTTTCAACCTCCGTCTTCCCTCTCTACCCCTCCCGTCCTCCCCTCCCTTCTTCCATACCTCACCTCTCCCCTCCCTGCTCTATTATCTCCTCTTCTGTATGAACCTCTGTCCTGTGTAGCAGAGAACAGTGATATACCGCCCTCAGTGTCAAGGCCTGACTGAATTACTTTGATTAGACAAAATCGTACCTTAACTTCTTAATATTTGTTTTAAATTAAACTAGCCCCCCGCCTTGCCGGACCCTGCCTTCTACACGTATCGTTTTAGACTTAAGTGAACCTATGTACGTAAAACACAGCACTAATTTGTCACAAGTTTAATAACAAAAGTGATCCCCTGAAGATTAGTCTCTACCCCAAGCTTACTTCACCTGATGATTAAACACCCGAATGCTACCTGAGAGGGTTAGGTTAGGTTAGGTTAGGTTAGGTTAGGTTAGGTTAGGTTAGGTTAGGTTAGGTTAGGTTAGGTTAGGGTGTTTAATCATCGGTTGATCAAAAAAATTATTCATGTTTCCGACTTTCCGTTTCGATGTGTTCCTGTTAAAGGTGAATCCTTACTATTTTTTACTCACTTAGGAAAAATTTCTCTTCTAATAAATACCAGATGCGTGTCAAGATGATAGATTCAATTATCTTGATTATCTAGGTTCAGATATGATAAAACTTCTTTCTTCCCTAAGCTCTCACAATATTTTTCTATTAGTAATCTTTACGATAAAATCCACTCATAATACTTAAGTTAATTCTAAGTTGTTTGTGATAAATCGTCGCTCACAGTGGCAGAAAAACATGTTACGTCAGGCTAACGGGGTTGGCCGTGACGTCTCCGCCGCTTGCTGCACCAGCAAAAGAGTATATAAAGCCTCCGACACGTGAGTTGGTGCTGTCATTTGGTATTGTAGAATCACAGTGGAAGGTAGTGGAGCGTGCTAGTGGTTGAAACAGTCGCCAACCCTCTAACGTAAGACCGTAATATAAACCTCCGTACACAAACCTGCCAAGTCGAGTTGTCAGATAGCGAATTCCTCCGTATTGGCGGGAAACGTGAGGTTTAGATTTTAGGTCTTTCGATATACTTGATCAGGATGGCGCAGTGTGTCAAGCTAGCGTGTGCTACTACTGCTCTTACTGCTGCTGTGTTCCTGCTGTTGTCTCCTGCTGCTGAAGGTAAGTTACGCATAACCTCTCGGTACTACTCTTCAACACTCTTCCGTCTCCACCTTAAATCCGGATGTATTTTCCCCTAGATTAACTCAACTCGTGTGTGTGTATATGTATGTGTGTGTGTGTGTGTGTGTGTTCTTGCTTTGTGATTCTGTTATGTTTACCATTTTTAAAACGATGAGTTGTGATTTGTGTTTTCTCGTGTTTACCCTCCGTCTGTTCGTCTGTCCTGTGTGTTGACGTTGAGAGTTCTAGCCTTCTTGTGGTATTTATCGCCGTTGAAAGATAAATTCATATTTGTCTGTTTTTGTGTATCTGCGTGTTTGTCTGCGTGTGTTTGTTTGTATTTCAGTGTTTATATCCGTGTGTATGTCTCTTGAGTCTGTGTGGATATACTTAGGGGTGAGGGGGGGGGGCTATCTCTCAGCTCCTGATGTAATATAATGTATCGACGCCTCTGCCACCAAATGAAAGTTGAATGACTGAGTTTACTCGTATCATCCAAGGTCAGGGAACATAAACACACACACACACAAGTCCATTTTAAAACTCGAATGATTAACACTAAGACGAAAATGGATCTAAATGAGAATAACAACCTGAAGTTACGATAATTAAAAAAAAAAAACTTCCGTGAGAATGATTTGATAATACAAAGTTAATGCAGAATACAGCCAGTGATACTACAGCCGCGTGTCGCACCTGAACTTGAGAGGCAGGTGAGTGAGAGGTCGTCCCCTGGTACACTCAACCTGTTTCAACAAGTTAGAATTATGGAATGTTTACCTATTTACATATTGATCGTGATATTTTATTAACGATGATACAAAGGTTTTGATAGAATAAATGATTTTCAGTTTATGAAATAGGAATAAACTAGTCACGTGTAAGGATAGTGAATAGATTAGTTAATTCTCCGTCAGTGGGTAAGTGGGTGAGTCAGTGACCAGGAGTAGGAAGGGGTTAAATTATGCATCATTATTGTAACTGGCCGTCCTTAACAGGTCTTTTAAAACGGCTACTACTAAGAGTCTCGTGTTTCCAGGACAGGACCACCTCGATATAGCGTACAGAACCTCGTTAGAACAACACTAAACTTTGTCTTAAGAAATTAACAGTTAACATGAATACATTTTATTCCTCACCTCTACTCCTCATTTCCTTCCCCACCATCACTTCCTATCCCAATCCCCACACACCTTTTCCTCCTTCCCCACCCACACATATCCACTCAACATGCCCACACAGACCACTCCTCAACCACACACTCACACTCCCTACCCACAAACACCCACTTCTCCACCCACTCAGGCACCCATTCCCCATCCACACCCCCCCCACACACACGCACTCCCCACCCCACCCACTTCCCACCCACACTCCTCACCCACCCACTTCCCACCCACACTCCTCACCCACCCACTTCCCACCCCACCCACACTCCTCACCCACCCACTTCCTACAGAAACAGTGAACTACGTGAGGCTGGAGTAGAAAGCGTGGCGTTGAGGCGATAATAATTGAGACCTTGATAATCAGAGTGAACGTGGGGCTGCAAAGTCTTATACGGTACGGTGTGACGGTGGTACTGTAGTAGGGACGGTACAGTGGTGGTAGGGACGGTACAGTGGTGGTAGAGACGGTACAGTGGTGGTAGAGAGGGTACAGTGGTAGTAGGGACGGTACAGTTGGGGTGGGGACGGTACAGTGGTGGTAGGGACGGTACAGTGGTGGTAGGGACGGTACAGTGGTGGTAGAGAGGGTACAGTGGTGGTAGAGAGGGTACAGTGGTGGTAGAGAAGGTACAGTGGTGGTAGAGAGGGTACAGTGGTGGTAGAGAGGGTACAGTGGGGGTAGAGAGGGTACAGTGGTGGTACAGTGGTGGTAGAGAGGGTACAGTGGTGGTAGAGAGGGTACAGTGGTGGTAGAGAGGGTACAGTGGTGGTAGAGAGGGTACAGTGGTGGTAGAGAGGGTACAGTGGTGGTAGAGAGGGTACAGTGGGGGTAGAGATGGTACAGTGGTGGTAGAGAGGGTACAGTGGTGGTAGAGAGAGTACAGTGGTGGTAGAGAGGGTACAGTGGGGGTAGAGATGGTACAGTGGTGGTAGAGAGGGTACAGTGGTGGTAGAGAGGGTACAGTGGTGGTACTTCCCAATATGGTGATCCTCTTTGATAATATTGTAACTTTAAACTAACATATATCAGATTGTATAATAATATGACAACCTTCTATTCTATTATGTCAAACATCTATGACAATATAGCATCTATACCACAATGGCATAGATCCTTTAATAATATGGTACACCCTCTCTATATGGCAACCTGCAATGAATGGATGGCAACGCCCTTCAATAACAACGAATTCTCTTTTGTGGGAACTCTATATCACACGGCAACACCCTTCAAACACGACAACTCTCCATGATCATATGACAACACACTCCTATCAAGGCAACACACTCCGAACACGGCAAACACGGAGACAGCCTTCACACTCCTACATCATCCTGAAAACTGGGTGTGCCTGGGCAAGGATGACCCAGGAAGCGACTGGTGGCAGTGAGGAGGAGGAGGAGGAGGAGGAGAGAGAGGAGGTGGTGGTGGTGGTGGAGGAGGTGGAGAGGGAGGAGCAGGAGAGGGAGGAGCAGGAGGGGAAGAAGGAGGAGGAGTGTGGGCGGCTGTCGTATACGCCCCAGCGGACCCGGTAGTATGAGGCTTCACGTCTCGTCGCTGTCTAACTTAAGGCATGTAAATAACTAATCCCCTCTCGGTTTCATACGATTATTCCCAAGAATTTCGTGTCACTGTCCTTCTACCGTTAATGGCCCGTTACTGTTGAGTCTGTTCTTTTTATTTTTTTCGGGGTTTACTGTTTGTTATATTGATGGAATGGTCTTCTATTTTTGTATAATGTCCCGTTATTTTGTGTACCTTTGCTCGCTATTCTGTTCTATTGACGATTATTTCTGTAACAATACCCACTATTTAAGTAACCTTGCCCATAATTAATTCGTATCTTAGTCCAATTTTGTACCATTGCCCTTCTTTTTTTTTTAGTTCTATTGCCCATTATTCTCTTACAATTCCCAAACTGTTTTCTTTTAGTACACTAACGTATTCTTGTCTCATGGTCAACCTTTTTGTTAAGTCATCATTGCCCACCCTCATATATCCGTACTATTGCCCAATTTCTCTATTTCACCATTGCCCTACACCATATAATACATTAGTAATTAAGATAAACACGTGTGATTAGTAATTAATGTTAAAATTCAAAATGACTTCAATGTCGTCGATCGTAACACCGTGAAAGAGGGAAGTCAAGAGCCAAGGCAGCCAACATTCCTTTGGTTGAGCAATAAAGGACTGTAGCCTCAACCACCTCAAGCTTATGTAGACCAAAGCTAACATCCTCCTCTGTTGTGTTTAACTCTTTTATTCCTCACTAAGTTCGTGTCAATAAAAGCTAAGGATTTTCAGTGTTGGTTAGATTAGGTTATGTTAGGTTAGGTTAGATTAGATTAGGTTATGTTAGGTTAGGTTAGATTAGGTTATGTTAGGTTTGGTTTGGTTAAATCCAGATAGATTAGGTCAGGCTAAGTTAAATTTCAATTAATTAGAGTAAGTTGAACTAATCGTTATCAGGTTAGGTTAAGTCAGGCTTAGGTAGGTTAACTTGGATAAAGATTAGGTTATATTAGGCATTGAAATCTCAGGATTAGTTTGTCTCACATGACTTGCATTACTAAGTCACATGATTCGAGACAGCTTCCTGTTTCTATCTGTTGTGTCACATTTTTTTTCGCGATTAAGTAAAAGAAAAAAACCCCCTCGAATCATCACCTTGTGTTTGGGTAGTTTAAGCACTTCCGGTCTTGATAGAGGCCAGTCCACATCATGGTCAGTAAACACCTCACTTTCTCTCATGCTCGCTTGGTCACTATCTATTTATCTATCTATCTATCTATCTATCTATCGATCTATCTATCTATCTACCTATCTATCGATCTATCTGTCTCTCTGTCTATATCTCTTTCTGTCTTTCTCTATCTGTCTTAATCATCATCATCATCATCACTTCAGGATTACCAAGGCGAAATTGATACGTATCTCACCTGACAAGTTCCCTCAACACGCCGCTTGTGGTGGGGTCTAGGTACTGACATCAATACCTGTATCTAGCGAACTTTACTATATACCGTAACACCCAGTCGAGAGAGAGAGAGAGAGAGAGAGAGAGAGAGAGAGCACTAACATTCGGACACTAACATCGTCGTCTTCTGCTTCCCCTCCAACAGGAAGCAGAAGGTGCCGTTTAATTTGTGGCTGTCAAGGAGGACTACAAGAGTGGCGGGAGGTGATGCTTGGCTAAACCTCTCAAACTTTGGATCGATCTTGTTAGTGATGCTTGATTGCTAGCTTGTGTGTGTGTGTCTGTCTGTCTGTCTAAGTATTTTAGTTTACGCGGCCGTAATTCCGTCCGTGTTCGTCCGTGATTCCACCACGGAGTTGTGAATACAAACGAGTTTACACTAAAATCGGACAAAATCTCACCAAACTTAGTTCCACACGGACGCATTATAACGGAAGTTCTCATGTGTAACGGAGTTCATTCATGCGTTCTTAAGTCCGTACGTCTGGCCATGCGTCTGTGAGTCTGTACGTCTAACCATGCGTCCGTCAGCTAACCATACGTCCATAATTCCGTGCGTCTAACCATGCGTCCGTACTACATGAAAACATCAACAACATGGCAGACCCCACACACGCAAAGGTTAATCAACACTCAGTATTTTTTGTGTCTCCTCCCATTACCGTAACAACAGACCCGGCTGACTCCTTGCTCTTTTGTTGTTGTTAGGGCGTGATAAGGGTAACTAGTCCCCACACTCTGCCCTTATTGTCTTGTAGCCCTGAGAAGAAAGTTAGTATCTATGTAAATGATTTGTAGGACTAAATTTCCTTTGGTTTATATTCATCTGTCTAGTAGTAGATGCCTG